TCTGCAGCCTGGATGGAGGCACTGTGGGGAGACAGGATGGGAATACAGGGCGGGGGGCTGTGCCCTGCAGGTCTGGAACCTCCCGCGCTCTGCTAATGGGGTGACAAGACCCAGCCCACACCCCTCAGGCTGTGTCTGTCTGTCTGTCTGTCTCCCAGGGCTGCTCTGCCCCCACCCCCTCCACGCTCCCCCTCACATCTGGGCAGCAGCAGCTTATTTTTTCCTGCATGATTACGACACCCCGAGCCACGGGATGTTTTTCCCTGGCCTGTGTCAACCCCCTCCTCCGCAGGGAGAGGCTGGGGGACTCATCTTGGCCAGGGCCCCCCGGGCACAGTGCCTGACACCCCCCCGTCCCCTCAAATTCAGAGCATGGAGCCCGGGCACCACAGGGTTGGAGAAGGGAGAGCAGATCCCTGCCAGTGATGGGGAAGGGCAATGGGATCCCCACTGGGTCTTGCGAAGGGTGACCAGATTCCCCCAGGACTGGGGAAGGGTGACCAGATCCCTGTCAGTGATGGCGAAGGGCAGCTGGATCCCCTCGGGGCTGGGGAAGGGGCTGTAGCCATGGACACCACCGTGGTCTCCGTGGTGGAGTGTGCCAGGCTCTGCCCTGCCCTTCCCCAAAAACACCAGCCAGAGCACATCAGTGCCACCCCCACAGCCATGTCACCTTCAGTCCAAAGGCCTGGGGGGTGCGAGGACAGAGGTGTCCCAAGAGCATCCCCACTGCATTCCAGAGCAAGGCTGGGCCCTGCCGGCAGCCTCGGCACAGCGGCGGCATCGGGACGGACAGGCCCCATCTGCGCCCTCCTCTTCCCATGGGAATAAAGACCATTTATTCAGAAGAAACCATTTTATTATTTTTTTTTCCCAAAGAAAAAAAGCAATATAAATATTAGAGTATAAAACTTGCGTGTAACACATTGACATTGGTCTATATGGGTATAAGAAGGATATAAGCATATATATAATATATAAGTATAATCCAATATTAGACACATTGAAAGGGCAAACGTGTTTCATTTCACGTACACTCAGAGCACAGACCACATGGAAATAAGATACAGAGAAAAATTGAGAATACTGGTGTCCACAAGTTAGTTACCGAGATTAAAAATAACACGCCACTAAATACACAACACTCACTACGCTACCTCAGATTGCAGATTAAAAAGAA